AATTTCTGAAGCAATGTTTGGTACACAGTGGGATCCACCTTTAATTTTCTTTGCCAAGAAGATAATATGTAATAATGTCCGTTGATTACCTCTTTGCGGAAATTAATGAAAAGCTTCGTCGACAATATTGGAATAATATTCAATCTCCTTTGAATTTTATGTAAATTAAAGGATGAGATGCCATCTCACCTGCAACAACCATAGACGTTAGAATCTTCCTGTTCAAGAAAATAAGAGGATATGCTCAAATCCTTATATGAGAAAATTAAAACATAAATATATTAATTTAAAGTATAAAGATTGCAGGGTGGATTCTCTGGTTGGGAAAGTAAGATAAGGTGAAGGTGGTACGTAACCTGGAAAGTTCATCAACATTTTGCTTCATTTTTTATGTGAATCTTTTAAAATTGTTAATTTAAGCATGTTTATTTATTTATTTGAATACCCAAAAATATGATTTTACTCACTCATTTGCAGGTACAATTAATTTGTAGGTAATTGAGTTAAGAAGGAAGGAAATTATAAAAGACCAAGTCAAACGAAAGTCACAATTCTCATTGAGAGTAAACGATTCCCACCCAAGTTTTGGCCAAATGGTACTTTTTCCACTAAAAAGTTTCAAAATGACACTTTTCCACCAATTGTTAAGATCTGTTAATAAAATTTATTAACTGACATAATATAAACAGTGTAAAGATGAAAACACCCTTCTCTCTTCTTCCTTCTTCTCCTTCTCTCTTTTTCTCCTCCGCTTTCTCTCCTCCTCCACCACCACCAATACCACCCAGATCCGATGCGATTGGTTGGATGCGATTCCAACCGAATCACACAAGGTCGATTGCGATTCCGACCAAATTGCACTAGCCCGATTGTAATTCTGGCTGAATCGCACTAGACCGGTTGTAATTCCGACCAATCTGAGTTGGGTTTGCTTTGAATTGTTGTTATAGTCCCTTTTAATTAATTTCATTTTTTTTATTTTTGGTGATTTTGGTGTTGTTTGAATTGTCATTTTTGAGTCCCGACTTGTTTTGATTTGGGTTTGCTTTGAATTTTTGTTTGGTTTTTTTTTTTTTTTTTTTGGTTTTATTAGAAATTTATATGTGATGGTTCAGGATTATTTTGTTACTTAAGTGAATTTGTTTACGAGAAATGATGCCACAGAGGATTATGAATGGCTTTGCAGTTTGTAAGATTGTTTGGTGACTAGTTTTTGACTTCTAATGATGATCTTTGAAATTAAATTCTAGACCACTGTTGAGAAATAAAGTGACTGGGGATTGGATTGATACATTTGAAGGACATAAAGGTGCAATGTGGAGTTGTTGCCTGGATACTAATGCTTTATATGCGGCATCTGGCTCTACATATTTCAGTGCATAAGTGCAATTCGACCAGAACCACACCCGACCAGGTGCAATTCAGCCCGAATCGCACCTAATTGAGTGCAATTCCAGCCGAATCACGTCCACCAAGCGCACCATATTTAGGTGGTATTGGTGGTGGTGGTGGTGGAGGAGAAGAGGAAGAGAGGGAGGAGAAAAAGAGAGAAGGTAAAGAGGCCTAGTGCAATTCAGTCATATCACATTCGGCCAATTGCACCAAATTTGGGTGGTATTGATGGTGGTGGAGGAGTAGAAAAAGAGAGAAGAAAAGAAAATAAAGAAGAAGGATATTTTCGTCTTCATCATTTATATCATATTAATTAATAAATTTTATTAATAGATCTTAATTATGGATGCAAAAGTGTCGTTTTAAATTTTTTGGATGAAAAAGTGCCGTTTGGCCAAACTTTGGGTGAGAAATTGTCGATAACTCTCTCGTTAATTATTACGTGGTCCACTATAAAAGGTAAATTTATGCATGGAGGTTATAAATATCCGTAGTAATTTGTAGCCTAATTAAAACGGGTCAACTTGAGAGAAATGGGTACGGTGAGGTCATCATATGGCCCAATAATATTAAAAAAATTTCACATAGGACAGAGGCGTGGTTGTAGCCAATTCTTTAACTCATCACATACCCACTATCTTCGTTTAAATAAAAACAAAGTAATACGTTCTATTCGAAGGTCCACACCGAATATTCTAGGCACTTGAGCATATTTCTATTTTTTTTTAATTGTGCATATAACTTATCATCTAATTGTTCCAGTATATTCTCTCTTTGTTTAATTTATCTTCTAGGTTAGGAGGACAGAAGAAGATATTCTGATCCTCAGAATCTTGCCTTGTCCAAGATTCCAAATCCATAAATTAACCTCCAATTCTAATTTTAATTATAATTAATGTAATCCTTTATAATAGTATAGGACGCACCTGTAAAATCTAACTTGTACCCCTGTGATTATCAAAAATTCACACTACAAATTCTTTAGATTAAGCATAAATAAATGAATAAATCAGCAACGATGATTTATTGAATGGGTATATGATTGGTTAATGTATCAAAATTTGACGGTGATGAGAGGCAAGTTATCAATTAGAGTTTCTTACCCATCATTAGGTGATTTGATGGTAAAAGAGTAAAGGGGTTTAACATAAATTCTTTAATTCGAGTCTTTTAGGCACTAATATAGATGATCATTAAAAGAATTTATCTGACTGTTTACTTCGATTATGAGATTAGATGAAATACACTTGAAGGATAAAAAAAAAATAAAAAAAATAAAAATTAGAGTTTCTGGTAGAGAAGAAAAACCCATATAATATTGAATGTAGCAAGATAAAGATAGACATGGATCCATAGAACAAGGAGTTGTACATATTCTGTGAGAAAGACGTAAACATAATATGTCTCTTCAATAAATGTAAAGGCCAAGTGTCTCTTGCGATATCTTAAAGAGTAACATCCATTAGTATTATTGTTATTATTATTATTATAAACAAAAGGCTAGAATAGTATACGAGAAGAGATGAGTATACAAAGTCGTTTCTTGATTTATTTGATACTTAGAATACAACTGGAAAGCTATGGGAAATGTGAGAATATTCCAATGACCTAACTAAAACTTTGGTAATCAAAAGATTTGTTCCACTAATTAAATTCAAGACTCTCATAATTATAAAAACACATGTTTATCACTTAGGTCAACTATTTGATACTTTATTATTTACATGAATGGTTTCTTTTCATCTGGGTTTCTCTGTCATTAAAGCTAGTGTTGTTTATAGGTGCCAATCTTTTAATCTAAAAGATTTTCTTTGTTTTTTTAATATTAAAGTAAGTACAAAGTTTATGATTAATTAACAAAAGATATATGCGGATTTATAAAATTATTCGTGCGACTAACAATTTTGTCTTTCCTTAGTTAAGTTTTGACATTGACTTGGCGAATTGAGGAAAGTGGGCAATTTGGGGTGTTGAATTTTCAAAGTCTTCAATGCCTCTCGTGATCACTTTGTGGTTGAAAACTAGGTAAAAAGTATGAACAACTTCAGTGGTACCAGAACAGAATTCATACCATATTTGACATTTTTGTGCGTTCTCTTTGTCATCCTGACTCATCAATGGTTTCACATATGACTCTTGATTTAAGGCCATTGAATTCAGTGTGTTACTGTAAAAGGTTCAACAAAGTCCATTCATATTTCTATTTTCAGATCTCAGTTCATTAACCCTGAAACAAGTTTGTACAAAACATGTTATTAAATGTCTTTGTTTCTCTATTTTGAAATCCTACCCAAAATACATATTTGTTTTCCTATTCTGAAAATTCAATTCAATTCATTTTAAACCCCCAAGATTTGTTAATTTAACTAAAAACCCTCAACAAAAAAAAAAAAGTTTTGAAATTGATAAATGCACTCTCACCCACCCTCCAACAGTGGTGGCCGATTGGCCGGCTGCTGGCATTTAATGGATGTGTTTGGGTGTTTTTGTTAATTTTTAATGTTTTATTGTAAGGGTGTTTAGTAAATTAACAAACCGAGGGGATATTTTATTAATTTTCAAATTCAACCTCGTAATAACCACCAAACTCAAGTTTATTTTAAAAATCCTACCTAAAATAATAAAACAAACACACCGCTGTTTTTGGTTATGTTTTTATTTTCACTTACTGGTTTTCATTTTCTCATGATTGATGGTTATCAGTTGTGTAGGTTGTGGGTTTTGTTATTTTCATTTATTCTTTTGTGTTTGCCAACAAATATGCTTAACACGATTTTAATTTCCAATTTTTAAAGTATTGTTTTTTTTGACAAGCATATCAAACATATTTTCATTTTTTGAATATAATCGAAATAAATTATTTTAAACATTTTCAAGAAAGAAAAAATAAAAGCCAAATTAATAATAATAATAAAAAAAACACATTATTAAAATTTTTCTTTTTCCTTTCCTCATCTACCCTAAGCACAAGTTTTGCGTCAACATTACTTTATATGATGACCTTTTAGCCCCAAAGACTGGTAAATAGGTTAAATTTAAGAGTACAGTCGTTACATTGAAATATAAGCATTCCCATTGCTATATTTAGTCCAAAAAATGTAATAAAAACTTGCCCACAACTTCAATAAATCATAGGTTTCTCATCATTCATCCTGATAAATGTATTAATCAAATGAATCATTAAGCTCCAGCTCCAATTTCCTTAGCTTGGCGAGCTCGAGCTCAATACTATAGCAGATGAGCCGAACTCGAGCTCAATATTGTAGCAGCTGAGCTGAGCTCGAACAACCAAATACTCAGCTTAGGTTGGCTCGTATACAACCCTAGTCACGGCATTACATTATTGGGTGTTTTCTTGGATCTCTTGAAGTCACTTGGTGTATAAATGATCTATACTGCATACTACAACACCATTTTGAAACATAAATCACGTATAGGTTTGGGGGGAAAAAGTCTATTAAGCATGTCTCCTGATTAATTCATGTGCATATGTAAGAAAAGCATTTCCATTTTAGGTTCTGTATTCAGTGTGAGTTACGGAGAGTCGGTTTTCATTGTAAATTTTGAATTACATCAAAAGGTCTAAGGGAGAAATATTTTCACAGGTATCAAGAAAAATTAGAGCCACTTGAGGTTGAAAACGAAGGGTATAGCTGAAGTTACACCTTTTGGCCCTCACTTACATCTCTCTCTCGAAACAGATGCTGGAACTATAAAACTATTACTTGATATAAACAGTTTCTTGCAAAAATGCATTTTAATCAGGATATTGTACAGAATAAAGATGTCCTACAGAACATTTGAAGGTGCTGAAATCTCCAGTGGCACACCAGGAGTGGGTTCTAGTACCTGAGCATCTGGTAGTTCCTTTGACAAAAGCTCCTGCATTAAGAAACCATTCACTTGGAATTTCAGAATATATTGCAGAAATGAATTTGTACCATATACTTGTGAGAAAAGCACACAAGAATCAAGCAAAATAGAAGATTAAAAAAATATATAAATTAAAAATCAAACTCGATTGCTAATTACAAAATCCATCCTAGATGATCCCATACTAATCCTCAAGCCATTCCATATCCTTCTGTTGCATCATTTCTAAATGTTTCACTTTTCAGAACAGAATCATCAATGGATGATTATTAACTACACATATACCCCTCTTAAAGTCTCTAACCACCAATTTAGAAAACACGGAGTAGATTATTTTTTAGGAACTCCATTGAAGTTAACAAGCTGAGGTTGAGGGAATCAACAAGCCAAAGAGTTCTCCACATATGAATGTCTGCACTAGATACTGTGATAATCAGTTAATAATAGTTTGTTTGCACATATGCGCACTCTACAAAGGTTTAAGGTCTCTTCTAACTAACCTAATAATTTACTACACAGGCATCAGTAAGAGTGCATGACACGATTTATTGATGTCTATGTTTCTGATTATATTACACATTAATGAAGCAAAAGTCGGTTTCTGTTCTCCTGTATGCAGATTAATTTATATCAACTCGAAATTTCACCAATTTGCATGATGAATACGAAAACCATGTAGACAGCTGTTGGTACTACTATAAAGTTGAACCAAAAAGAGATTCCATGAATCTAACTGTACAGTCTGGATTAAGTTAGTGTAAATCTTTTCAAAAAACATCAGCATCATAATGTCTCCTATCTATATCTTCTGGGGAACAAGTGGAACCTCAATCCATGTACGGCCTATCAAGTAAAGAAATCAGACCTTGAATGATTCAACTGTTCCTTCAGCCTGAACTATACTTGCAAGAAATCCTTTGCTATCAAGATCTCCATTTTTCATAGGCACAATAAACCTACAAAACAAAGAAAGAAATGAAATAAAAAGTATTAACACAGTAAAATTAGGTGGACTTAGCTTCAAAGTTATAGGTTTTATACTTGGCATTCAGCAACTTAGCAAGCAGAACAGCGTCTTCTTGTCCTGAAACCAGTGTAAATTTAGGAAGTTGCTGCTTTATTACAGGGCTAATAACAATGTCAGCATGTTCCTTCTGTAGAAAATTTTTATTGTATATGCAGTGGGGTTCGTAGTAAAGAGTCAGTTGGCCCTGAGGAGAATTGACAAGATACCTGGACACCATATTACACAACCAAAGGATGGAAAACCTTAAATTGACAAATTAACCAATGATTAAAAAAAAAAAAAAAATTAAGGCAGCACCATAACCAAAGTATGCTTAAAGTCACATTAGAAAATGGAATAATAAAAAATATACCCATTCTCAGGTCGTTGCCAAGGAGGCCCTAGAACTGGCCCGGCAGTGGCTTTCAGTTTGACTTTGGAACCATTTTTTGCTTCAACTTCAGCACTCTGACCAGGTTCTAGATATGTAACCTGAAAAATTCTGACATTAAACTTAAAATGGTAAAGTATACTCATTAACCATGAGCGTATAGCATGAACAATGTCTGGGATGATAGCAGATAAGTTTTGATGCCAGTGAGTTTGCAGAAAGTTGCCAAGACAAGGTTGCCTTGGAGAGTGATTAATTGGAAAAACAAGTTTTGTGTAGCACTTGTCTATGCTCTTCTCCAAATCTACCTCAGTTCACTACATATGCCAACTAGACATCCAGGAAAGGTACACTGGAGGTGAAAAGAAGTCTCACATAAAGATGACACTCATTTGTCACTTATCGTCCTCTAAACAATACAAACCTAACTTTACAAAAATAGAAGACAGCACATTTGTGTGAAACGAAATATGACGACGTGCGGAGTAACAAACTTTAGAGGAAACAGTCCCTGAAAACCAAATTAAATAGGACACTTGTACAATATATTAACGCCTAATTCAAGAAGTGCACATGTCTTTCCATAATCTAAAAACTCAGACATTTGTAATTCTAAAAGTATAAATATAATGGGTCTGATGTCCTTGATTCCTGCAGCCATACTTTGTTTGACTGAATTTACTTTAATTGATTATTCACCTATATAACTGAATATCAGAAGTACAATGCAGGAGTGCAACCCATAAACAGAAAACTTATTAGTACATCTCTGAAGGCAACAGAGACTAAACTAAATAAAGACTTGTTAATTACCCATAATTATTTTAGATGCCTATAATACAGCCTCACATGAAAGGATTCACAGTTGTAGCTCCATGGGACAAACAAATTACAGAATATCATTATTATTTGAGAACGGAGACAAGGTGAGGTTAACCCGTAAGAGTTATAATAGTTTAGTAACTATGATTTATCAAGAATGCCCACTGAATTCAATAGCATAATGATTGCTAATACCGGCCAAAGTGAGGTTAACCACCCATCCATTCATCTATCTACTGGGCATAATGTAAATTACATTAAACAAGAGATCTCTTCTTTTTCATCAAGAAGGCATCAGTTTGTACGGAAAACTCATTACAGTTCCTCAACATTGAATGATAAAACTAGCCATTGGGAGCAAAATTTATAACTATATTCAAACAGCCAACAATGTCATTAGCAAGAACTACACAGAAGCAAGATTTTGAAAAACCTATGACAAGAACAGAACTCAATTAACTTTATCATTTTTATTTCAACTGCCATTCAATTTCATTAACTAGAATTGGACCAACTGCAAAAACAAAATGTTCAGATTTCAATTAAAAGGATTACATATCACCAAAAATAAATAAATGAAAAACATGAAATTTGAATTGTATCACTCACATTATTAAAAAGGGGATCCAGCAATGGCTTGGCATTAGGAGTAGCAATGACCTTAAGATTTGGAGACATTTTAGAAAGCGGCTCTAACGTCTTTAAATGGCAGTGATCATCAAGGCTTTGTGTAATCAATAAACAATCAACTTCTGGAAGATCACTAAGCTGCACTAAAGTTGCATGCCAATTAGAATAAGCTCATTAAATTTCACTACATTAGGGAAGACTCTTAACAAGTACAAAAACTGACTGCATATGGTCCATAAAATCATATAGATGCAATTTTTCATTGCATCAATGATTGAAAGAGCAAAAGCTTCTTTTTATGAGACTCTTCCTTAACATTAACCCAGAAATTTATAAAACCAAACTATAATTTTTAGGATATACAAGAGGTGATGATGAGTAGTTATAGTGCAATTACAAAAGTACCTGGAAATTCTTCAAAAATTTCTTGGCAGCATCATAAAGCCAAGGAATTCCAAAATCCAAGTTGCCCACCAAGATTGGATCAACCAAAATTTTCAAACCACCAACATCCCACAACCAACTATTTCCCTAAACCAAGAATTCAACAGAAATATCTTAACCAAAACCTCCACATCAACCAAATTCAAAAAATTATCCAATTCTAACAGTTATATCTCCACGGAAACTCCAAACTTATCAATTTTAAAGAAAACCCACTTCAAGAAAACGAAAGACCCACCTCTAAGTACGTGAGTTTAAACACATCAGTACCAGAATTAATTGAACCGACTGCACTCTCTTCGGAAGTCACAGCAGAAACAACCTTACTTAACCTGTGAAAACAGCATGAACCTCACAACTAAATAGTCTTACATATGCACAACAATTCGTACATGTATTATGTATATAAGAAATGAACCTGGGGCTGGGAGTTGAGAGCTTAAGCGCAACGTTATTGGTGCGGTTCGGATTGTGAGAAACTGAAGTTAAACGGGTGGTTGACAATGGAGACGAAAGTGTAGTTCTCGTTCTGCATGGTTTGATGGAAATGGGAAATGTGTTGCAGTGAATAGCCATGAACATGGTATTACTTTTCACACTTGAGTTCAGTGTCTTGTATTTTTCTGTTAATTTTTATTTTTCTCTTTAAACAACATGAATTTGCTCAATCGGCTTCAACTCTGCCACTTGGCATACGCTGACCCACTAACCACTATCTTAATTTGCACATAAAACTTCGTTTTGATTCTGCATTTGAATTATCTGGAGTTTTGTGGTTATATACAAAGGGAAGTATTAATAAAGGGAAAGAGCAATACTAGTCTTAACAAAAATAAAGAGAACATACAAAAACAAAAACAAAAATAAAGGGGATATAGAAAGATAATTTTCACCTTTCATCTTCATGATTTTTCAATCTCTCTCTTTCTCTTTTTCCTTTTTTCTTTAATTTTTCCTTCTTGTTGATATTACTTTATAGTCCTCTTTATATTGTCTTTGTAAAGATAACATTTTTGTAAAGGAAAATATGCAATGGTAAAAGTAAACGAGTTGTGATTTTCATTCGCTTATATGTGATCAATATGAAAAGAATTTATTAGAAACAAGTGAGAAAAGAGAAATTAATTTGATTATGTTGTACTGTCAATGTAACCTTTTTCATGGCTATTTTCCCAAAAAATTAAAGTTGTTGATCACCACTTTACTAGTAATGAAATATCTTGCCAGACTGATAATAACTGCTAAAAGCTTAAACATAAACCAGACTTTAATTGAATAAAGGGAACTCATCATCCGCAACTCCAAGTTTCTTGTGGATGCTCTGGAGTGTAGCTTTGATGACAAAATAAGAAAGCCATAGGAGCATTAGCACTCAATGTTTCCACTCAATGTTTCCATTAAGTAGTGAGCAGGGAGAGCCTACCAGTATAATCAATCATAAAAAATTATCACAAAATCTTGGGTCATTCAACTCGACCGAACAACAAATCGAGCTGTCTTCTTCTCATCGGCCAATCCCAGAAATGTACAAGAATGTTTTAAAGTTGGTAACCCTCAAACATTACATCACTCCTTCTGCACAATAACCTTGGCTTCAAGGTTTCAAACAGGACAGGCTCTGTACAGAATGCATTTCTCAGTATTTATTTATATCTTGAAAACAAGTTCTCTTTCCCATCTTTTGGGATAATAAGGAATAGCATTCACGATTCTGTTACCTTGGAGTGATGGCAACTCATCACCACTGGCAATCTTATCACACCAGACAAATTCATTCTCATGTTCAAGCTTCATAAGGAGATCAGCAGCAGCATCGATTTCCTTTTTAAAGGCAGATTTCTGTGGTTCTTCCCCCGGCATTTTTTTTTTCGAATTCTGCAATGCATCACGAATAACTCCAATAGCAACCCCAACTTGGGAAGTAACCTTTAGACTTTCTGCAAGGTATTTCTGACTCCTTAATTCATGTAAAGCTTTGCAAGATGATACAAATTCCTGCACAATGAAGATAAGCTACACCTAATTAATACAGATCACAAGAATAAGAGAGACATTTTTGTCTTCCCACTCACTCTTTCAAACCAAACAACATAGAATGGCATTGCACCAGACTATTGCAGATGCAAGGGCATGGAGAGAATCATTGTTCCCACAGCAAAGAGTCAGTAGATCATCAATAACAAAGCAAAAAGTAGGGAAACATCATGTGCTGCCTGGAGAGCAGTAAGAGCGTCCGGAAAGTATACGAAGGTTGAGTTAACAGAGTTATTCTGGTATGAAATCATATTATTTAGGTCTTTCACTCATTTGGATGCATGAAATTTACATGGGAACAGCTACGGACGTTCATTATTAAGGAGCAAAAAAATATTTTTCCTAAAAAATAAGACTGAATATTACACAAAACAAGATAAAACATTTTAAACACAATTCAAATACAAAAATAACTCCAATTATCATTGTATCATTTTCCTTGACTCACCTGATAGATTCACACTCAATAAAACCAAGTCTTGGTTCAAAAAGATGATTTAAATTACCATAAAGTACACCAATAAATTCATATCTTGATAAATTTACCAATAGTTAGTAGGTCAAACATATTGGTAATATAGCACATACCATAATTGCTTAAACACATTGATCCTTACCCTACAGATACGAATGTACATGTATATGTATGTGAATGTCTGTGTGTAATACATACAAGAAAACACCATCTAGATACATCCGCTACTTTGTCAAATGAAAATTTTCGTGTATTTAGACTTATCCATTTCAGTATCATTAATTTCACTTAAAATCTTTCGTTGAATTGTTTTTCTTTCCAGCCCCACGATTCTACCCCAGGAAGCATACCTGGGGCCTGGGGCTGGGGGGTACCATCGCTTCAACTCATATAGTCCCCTTCTTGCTCCGTATGATTTCTCTATAAGGGTCACCTCCATATTTTCAGTTAGGTGCATTGCTTCTACTAGTTCTATATCATTTATCATGTCAGGAAGCCAACTCTTTTCTGATGAACTGATAAGTAAAGCCATCAATTAAACAAAGAGGAATGAATAAAATTTCTTAACAAAATGCACATTAACTTAACTTTTTTCTCTTTCCTTTTTTTTTTTTTTTTTTTTTTCACTTAATCCCCGATCAGATAGAGGCTAGAAAAAATATAATGCAATAAACATACATACCATGAAGCGAGATGAAATATCTTTGCACTCTCCATTTGATGAATATAGAATATCAGTGGCTTCACCAAGCATCTCTGCAACACCATAGTGCAGCTTCCCCAAAAGAGCAACAGTAGTTCCTTTTTCTTCAGCCTTCCTAATAGTTACTGCCTATTACGTTTTCAGAACATATCAATTAGCAAACAAAATAAAATTTCTTCAGAACTTCTATTAATTAGTAAAAATTATCAAAAAAGGATCAACCACTAGATATTACTATCTCAAATGATTAAAGGAATTTGAATGCCATGATTCCATAACAAATACACAACAGCAAGAATACATGTGACGGTCCAAGACCAACCTGGGCTTCAGCCAGACAAATTAATTTCATTACATCAGACATATATGAAGTAGCTTCAGGTGGCCTTTCAGCTGGCAAAGCTGTCTGCAAAGACGGGAAAACCTCTTGAGACAGATGTTGAAAAACTCCTGCAGCTTCTCTGAAGAGAGCAGCAGATTGCACCAAATCTACAATGACATGAAAAGAGTCATTAATGCCTTAATCAATAAACTCAGGAAATAATAACATGCTTATGAGTAATAATGCCAACCTGCCGGGATGACCTCTAGAGCTCTCTCTCGAAGTATTGCACCATAGAGGAAAAGAACCATACCAAGCTCAAACCGTAAATTATCAATTTGATAAAACTTGGGACCCAAAAGATTAAAAAAAGATGATGAGCTAAGGGCACTACACCATCTTATTTTGAGTTCTGAAGTCCACTGAACTAACTGCTGGTTGCTGCTAACCAAATCAACATGAAAAATCAAGTTTTCCAGCAATGGTAGATACTGTTCCAGTTTGTGGAGGTCCTGACATAATTTTTGAATAAGTAAAACACAATCAGAACAACATGCTAAAGGCTGCATAAGACCATTTGGGGTATGTTCACCTCATGCAAAATTACAAATGATCACATAAATCATCAAACAACATGGATTCATTGAAAAAATCATCGAAAAGACAACAAAAGGGAAAAAGTACATAGACGAAGTGACGGAAAAGAATATTAATTCTCTTATAGGCCATGAGAGCCAAAAAGGCTTGTTTCCGATATATGGAAAATTAGATTACCACTTAATCACCTTAATCCATACAGTCAAATGGGATAATTGCCAGTATCACTTCCAAACAAACAAACCACTTAATATGGTTCATTCATTAAATTCAAGGTAAGTGCTCGCAAATTTGAAGAGTGATGTACAGTTTTTAATATGTATGCCAGTCAAAGAAAAATGGAATTGTTTCATCTAATTATGGAGAGAAAAGTTCCCATGATAGTATGACAGAAAACAGAACGTTTGCCTGTCTATATCAGATTACCTGTTGAAATGGACAAGTTAATCCTCCAGATATCTCTCTTGCAATGGCCTCTGTAATATAGCTGCTTTGATTTATGGAATCCTCGATTACTTTACGCTTACAACTTAGTTCCTTCAAATGCTCTAATGTGGCAGAATCACGCGCAGCGAATATATCCTCGAAAATAATCTGTTCACGTAACTAATATATCATACATGCCCTAAATAGCCATTCAATCAACCCATCTTCCACAAAGGGAGCATACAATGTTATAACAAATTCAAAATCCATCTTCCATACATGAAATATTACCTCTAATACCAAATTTATTTTATCTTCTATACATGGATATATTCTATCTAATGCCAAAAACCATCAAGACTGATCGTTAAACAAGTTAATAACCAAAACAAATACAACCCAATAAACTTAACATGATGAAAAAAGAAACAACCATACCACATGAAAATCAATAATAAATAACAATAGATCCAATTCAATTATAAGAAATCCACATAAACAACACAAAGGCAAAGAACGAAAAGAGATAATTACTTTCTTGGTTTTAAGCTTAGCTGGTTCTCGAAAATGCAGCATCATCTTTTCAAACTCCAGACAAGTCAAATACTTAATTCAGAATCTTAAAATCAATCGAACCACCATAACGTATAACAAAAACCACAAGAGAAAACAAAACGCTACTGATTCTGAGTGTGATTCCACAAAATCCAGTTTACGTAAATCCAACTTTGAGATGATGGATTTTAAGGGACTTCTGGTCGTTTTCAAGGCTTCTTCTGTTGGGTTTCTATTTCTTCTCTGGCAAGTTTATAAGAAGAGGCTGAGGATGGTCAGTGGGCCCTTGTGGGCTCCCGCGTTTCTTGTGACTCATCTTCTTTATTCGGGTTTGGGCTTCACCCGCTCATATACCCATTGAGTAATTGGCAAATTGCAATTAATAATATGAATTGACATTCAAATATTCATTAACTTTTTGTTACTTTGCGGCTAATATTAAGAGTTCTTCTGTATATAGTCAAAAAAAATTTTATTGAAATTTTATTTTTGTTTACTTACAACAATTCAAATAATTGTTATGACTTATTGAGGTAATTAATTGTTATTTACTTTTAAAACGAGTTTAGAACTATTTCACCCTAGAGATGGCAAAAAGGTAAATTTGGATTGGATTGGAAGAAATTTCGTTCTTAAAATCTAAGAATAGATTGGATTGGACGGATGCAGCTAATATTACATTACAAATTGATAAATATACCTATACATAATACTTCAAATTACAAAATAAACTTAAATCAATATTTAATAAATTAAATAGATAATTTCGTAAACTATTTATAAATTAAAAAAAAAAATATATAAATATATTGGTTACTAAAACCATTGGCAGTGGATGACTATCGGTCAAACCATCGTTGACCGGCGAACCTCAATTAACTAGTGGTCAACGTTGGTCACCAATGTCGATTTGACGTTGTAATCGATGGGACCTAAAACTTCCAATGTACATGAATCATGTGATTCCACTAGATTCCAAAGCTTATTTTGACTACAACAACGTAATGCCTTCTCTCTTTAGCTAGTGTTATTGTAAAATAAACAGTAAAACTCATATAAATAGGAAAATCTATACATATAAATGAGTATACAAAAATTGGACCCATTTCTTCTATATACACAATACTCTACATTAAGAAATAAAAGTGCTCAAAATAAACTTGACAGTGGTTGACAGACCCTTCCGCTCATGATGTTCCCTCCGACCGCATCTTATCTCCTACCTGCAAAAACATTGAAAACAATAGGGTAAGCGCTAATTGCTCAGTAAGTAAACCCGCTAAGCTACTCCTCTCTCTCTCTTGTTCAAATTCTGAAGTTCTTTCCTTACAAACATTTCTCTCTTCTTCTCTGTTCTTTTTTATTCTTTCTCTCTGTTCTTTTTATGTTCTAGTCTCTCACTTACTGACATGTAAGCACCACTAGAGAAACTAATTCTGAATAATATAAATGACGTGATGCATGTGCATAAATGCATACATGAATGCATTTCCTTTTTTGTTTTTTGTTTTTTGTTTTTTGTTTTTTGTTTTTTGTTTTCTATTGCCCTTCTTTCTTTCTTTTATGTGTTCTATGCTTTCTTTTTGTATTCTATTCTTTCTTTATGTATTCTATTCTTCATTCTTTCTTTCTTTATGTTCTTTCTTTCCATTCTTTATGTTCTTTCTTTTTTATTCTTTCTTTGCCAATCGGACTCGGTTGAGGCATGGATTCAGAACTCTAGCCATGTGAGTGGGTACAATCCTCATCTACATACACTTCTAACGGACTGTACAATTCTTCTTTCTATTCTGTAGTCGCTTGCTAAAAGCGGCGTGCATGTAGGTATATTCTGTTGGTACAGTTCTCCTCCACATGCATTTCTAACGAACTGTACACTTTCTTCTTTCTGATTCTGAGGCCGCTTACTGAAGGCGGCGTGTATGTGGGGCTATTCTCTTCTGTCACTCACAGGTTCCTCATCGCAACAACCTGTTCTTTTCTTCTTTTAAAGCATTCTTTAATAGTTTTTCTTTCTTTCTCTTTATTCTTTAAGTTCTCATACGTATGTATATGTATGCATGTAGATGGCTCATGCTTGTTATTCTTTCTAAATGCAAATGTTTAAAAGCAAGAATGCCATGTAGCATAAAAATAAGTCATTCTCTACCATCTACAAGCTCATATTAAGATCACAAGTGAATAAACTCATGCATACACTTCTCTTGGACATTTCATCAAACATATTGCATGCACACTCAAACTCTAATTTGGCTACACTTCTACTTCTTTCTCAAGCCACCAATATTTGGAGTAAAACTCCCTTAAATCAATACTAAACCTGGCCAGGAAAATACACTCCTTAAATTCTACTCAAACTCTTTCTAAATTTAACCAAACTTCCATCAATCACCATACAACAAATTCCTCTTCTCATGGCTGAAGTCTATTCATCAATAAACATCAATCTCATCAACAATTCTCAAAATCATCAGCATATACATACATGTAAAAATTCTCTACTCAATTGAGTTCAAATCATAACTTGGGTTGGATTTACTTACCTTGAAAATGAGCAACTCAACGCTCTAGTCTTCTCTTGACACAACTTTCTTTCTCTTTCTTTCTCTTACACCCTATTAACAACAACCATAAGAATTCACCACTTAACAAAAATTAAAACTCATATTTGGGTGCAAGAGTCTTATCGTGAGGCTTAGGATTGAAAATCTACACAACTTAGACCAAAATCTATGAATTTCCTTTGAAAATTGATTAAAAGAACTTGAGAGAATTTGGGTAGAGAGTGGCGTGAAAGGCAAAGAAGAATGGCTAGGGCTTCATCTTAATCTCTTAATATAACAAAAAGTTACTCATAGCTTACCATTTTACCCTTACACTTTCCATGAAATTCCATCTATGTCCCTTAATCAATTATCAAAAAGTCATCATTCCATTGCATTCTCCATAACATTCAATCTCTTTTCACTCCCCACACTGTCAACTAATTATGGGTGGAATGACCATTTTGACCTTGAGCAAGATTTTCCCCAAAATCAATAAAATTTCTAGGGAGTTCTTCGCCTCAGTGAAGCACTTTCTTTGCCCTGGCGAAGCTGCCTGTTTCTGCCACGAATTTGGGCAGAATGTACAATGTCGCGGCGACAAACTTCCTTTGCCGCGGCGAAGTCTGCAAAATTTTTCTTCAACAAATTTTCATGCATTCAGCTTGAAATAAAGGCATAAAGACTTTAAGACATGAATAAAATTTCATACCTCACTGTGGGTGTTAGTTACAAACAGGTGATGAAATATTTGACTGCCTTCTATAGTTTAAATAAGCATTGGAATCCGGTGAAATCACCGAAAAACCTATAGATCAAGGATTGTCGATCCCGATGGAACCTACTATGTTTGTACTGTGCCACTGTTGACCATCCTTGACCTATAATTAATCATCACTGACCAGATTAATATTTTGATTTTTTTTTACTGAATTATTAGTTAACTAATAATTTATATAAAAAATAATTTTAATACATTTTTAAATACTTATCATAATATAATTTTTGGATTTGGATTTAGATATCTATAAGAGTGATTTACTAGCACCCCGTTAATGGACTAAAAAAAACCCAGCTTTTTAATAAATGTTATAAAGACAAATTTATCCTTATATTAAATTATTAAAATTAATTTGATTTTCCTATTTTTATAAATACTTTTGACTCCCTACTATTATCTCAAGTAACCTAATTTTTTTTTTATACTATTCAAATTATTATTAGAACAAAATTATAGTTTAACAGTGGATGAAAATTTGCAATGGGATACACATGTTATAAGCAATAAAAAATTGTAAAATTTTAATTGCTTTACATATAAATTTATTTTTATTTTTTAAAATATTGATAGTTATTTTAATCTATATACTTATGTCATATAATCTATATATCTATATAATCCTAAAGCTCACATTCTCTATTGATCGTCATTTGGACTCCACGTAGGATGCCACATAGGATCTTAAGATTTCTATACTTATTGCAAATGTTTGTAATTAATGTGCTATGATGTGATTGGTTAATGGTTAGTGGATGTAATTAAAAGTTAAATGAACCATTCAACTTCAAATTAAAAATTAAAATATCTATATCACATTCTCATTAATACTAACCATTCACCTCCCAAATTTTAATCATAAAGAATTTTATTCAATTAATAACATATTTATAAATTAGTGATTTTATTTTATTGGGCATTCCAAAGGTTTAATCACTCCACATTCAACTCTTCGATACAAACACTTTATGAATATGTGAAATATACACGTAGGATTTCAGTTATAGCTCTAGAATTGCTACTTAGTAGTATTAATAGTACATATTGGGCATCCAAATGTCTAATTAAAAGACATATAGATTCATGTTAATCATTTCACACTCACCTAAATATTAATAACAATTAAATAGTGACATCTCAAAGGTCTCAAAAAAACTTTGTTTATATATATATGTTTGTCCCCTCACATTCACTTATATTCAAATGATTGATGTTGTCATTATATGTTGTTATTCAAGATTTAATATATTATTGGAATTGGTTTGTCTTTTTATTTGTTGATATGTTCATTTCTAATGCTTTCTCTCTGTCTTAATTTACAGACTATGCACAACTCTATATAGCAAAGTAAATATCTTGGTTTCAGGGAACATAGCCTCATCTAAAAGAGTTTTCTTTCTCTAATATTAAAAGGGTTTTTTATGTTATACTGGCTGAATCAATATGTAGTTTTATGAGTCTCAAAGTTCACTGTGATACTCCATAAATTCAAGAACTTAAGTTTTGTTGTAATCTGAGTCTAATTTCACCAATTCAAGAACTAATTTATCATCAAGCAAGAAACAAACAATCATACACAAAAGACAATCTTTTTACCGTGGTTCACCTATCCAATGTTGGATAGATTACATCCACGTTGAGCGCCGAAATAAGGAGACTCACTGCACTAGGATTATCAACAAATTATACAAGAAATACAATCTTGATCTACTGATCATACGCAGACAGAAACCAGGCTTAAACACTCTAACCCCTTTCTACTGCAACTCACCAGACTCTAGAGCACTACTCTAGCCCTTAAAGGAAACGCAACCTTCATCATAACTACTGCCCATAATTACAGAGAGATCACCAAGTGACAAGCCCTAACCCGATTATACAACAACACAAATTGCACCAA